ATTGTTACAAAAGCTAGAATAACCAATCAAAACATATATACTTATATATATATATATATATATATATATATATATATATATATATATATATATATATATATATATATATATATATATATATATATATATATATATATATGACTATCTCTCTCTCTCTATATATATATATATATATATGTGTGTGTGTGTGTGTGTGTGTGTATGTATATATATAGAAATATAGTTTTAAGGTGTGCTATATTTATGGGATAAAATGCTCAATATCAATATCATATATATATATATATATATCAATTCACCCTAAGCAAGGCGATAATGTCACTAGACGCAAGTGGGGTACTGGGAGAGAATGAAAACAATTTAGATTTTAGAAGGAACCGGTAACTGCTAAACAGGGAACAATGGATAACCTTCTACTCCTGTTCAAAAGACCAGGGAGGAGATTGAACCGAACTTTGAAGATGAAAATCCGAGTATGAATGTTTCTACCATTACTGAAGGCGTAAATTATCTTTTTTCCTCTCACCATTGCTCATTTGGGAAGACATGGTGGGGCTGACACAGAACGATTTTGACCTGTTCTCTTACTAGCTGAATAACACAAAAGGTTTTTCAATGATTTTTACAAGTGCCGTCAAGACGGCTAAACGTCTTATATGAAAACCGGGAGAAAAGAAACTTAATAAGTTTAGGGATTTTTTTTAGATATAAAACATTTTTTGAGATGGGCAATTATCACATACACAATCTGGACAATTTTGCTGTTACACACAGTATATATATATATATATATATATATATATATATATTCGACTCTCTCATCGAATTCGACGTATGAGGGTCAAGCAGATCAGTTCTTAGGAAACCAACAGCCCGACACCAGAACATGAGATTTGATTATAGTGGTGAAGGTTTCGTGCAGGACCATCTACACTTTTGAAGGGCCGAATACAGAGACCTGGTGCACTACGTGCCACAAGGTCCCCAAACGACCCTGCGCAGCTTTGGAATTCAGAGTTGTCCTTCTCCTGGACTAGTTGCCATCCAAGGCTATGGAACCCGTTCTGTCTTGCTATTTACCCATAGCTGGAGGGAGAAGAAGAGGATTCATACTTTTGCCAAGGGTATTAGCACGTAAGTGCTATACGCACACACACACACACACACACACACACACACACACACATATATATATATATATATATATATATATATATATATATATATCTGTGTGTGTGCATTATGGATTTGGACAATTCTGCACTTACACACCTATATAATATATATATATATATATATATATATATATATGTTACTCCAAATGTTATTTCTAGGGGATAACCATATTTGATTAGGATAACCTCCGACAATAATTTTTCTCGAGTGGACAGGCCAATAGGCGAAATAAATACTGTTTAAAATAAAAACGAGCGTCTATTCACACACGGACATCCACTAAAAAGAATGTTTGAAGTAATCAAAATATGTCAGATTAACAAAAATAAATTTCCATTAATTCTTTAGCAATTGTTTTGTTTACGTTTCGGATGTGAAACTGAGCGGATATACTATTTTGAGGAAATTTGAACGAATGAATTGTGAAGCTTTTCGTAGCCGAGCGGTCAAAACACGTCGGATCAGACGTGCAAATTGGAGCGTCTTTTGCTTTAATATATTGTCTCAAGTGTGAGGACCAGTAGACGAAATAAATATCGTTTAAAACAAAACAGAGCGTCTACTCAAATATGGGCATCCAATAAAAATAAAATTTGAAATAATAACAATATATATATGTGTATATATGTGTATGCGTGCGTATATGTATGCATTGGTAAATATATATATATATCTTTTTTTTATAAGTCTACAGTCACTTTCTCACAGACGCGCCGTCGCCTCCCTCTGTCTGTTCTACAAATACTTTCATGGAAATTGCTCCGAGGAGCTGCATTCGCTGGTTCCCAGACGTCATGAGCTCCAGCGCCCTACGAGGCTGGCATCCCGCTCTCACCCCTTCACTGTCGAAACTCCTAAATGTAGCCGTCTCTTCTACTCTAATAGCTTCATGTCTCGCACCTCTCGCCTGTGGAACTCTCTTCCCTTCTTCTGTTTCCCTGCGAGCTATAATCTCCAGCTATTCAAGTGTAATGTCAATCGACATCTCCAGTTGCCTTAATCTATCTACTACCCTCATCCTTTCTTCTATCACTCCTATCTGATCTTGCTATTTTCTGTAACCCTTTGCGTCCTAGTGGCTTCCCGCCTTTCTTGGGGTGAAATGCTTAAGAAAAAAAAAAAAAAAACTGGCCGAGTGGTTAAAATATTCGCTTTCTGACCATAAGCCCCAGTTTCGAATCTCACCGTGGTCGATTCGTCAGGAAAGCGACTTTTTGATGTTATAGGACTAGCGATCCCAGCGTGCGGCACCTTTGGAAAGTGCCATGAAAACTATACCACATGTTGACCCAAGCCTTGTGAGTGAATTTGGGTAGACATGTGGCTGTGCTAGCATGAAATCATAAGTCATCGTGACCGAGGGTTTGAGTGTGCTGGCCTTGTTCAGATTGTGGATCACGCTAGATAAAATGTTTTTCTCGAAGAAACTGTAACTAAGGTCTGCTCAGCATAGTCGCAGGTGGCTCTGTGGGTGTTGAACAAACACAAAATGCGCCTGAGCAAGCGTCTGCGATAGTTATTAGGTTGGTGCAAAATAATGTCGTTTTTGACATTCAACTTAACGTCAAAAGCGACATTATTTTTGCACCAACCTAATATTAGCTAACCGCCCTAATAAATGGGTATCCTCGAATACGAATGGCCAGCCATTAACGTTAATTAAATTTTTAGCCTTGACGTAATATACATGAGATTTATACATAACTAGCAGTAGAGCCCGGCGTTGCCCGGGGATGTAACAGTAAGAGATAGATCAAGTATCGACGATCATAAAGACTGAAAAATAAAATTGACAAAGATTATTGTTTAAGGTTGACGGACACGCATGTCTTAATTAGTTTTTTTTTTTTTTTTTTTATGAATTGGTCAAACTCAAACAAAAACATTGTTTTCAATCATTATGAATCTATCGATTGAATATAATTTTATTATAAACAATTGTCTTGTAAATGGAATTTATAAAGCATTCTGAATGTAAAAATAAAGAAAAAGTGTGCAAGACAATAAGAAACACTACCTGCCAAAAAAAAGTGAAGTTTTGTTGAAATCGGTTGAAAAATGTAAGGTTTTATAATAAGTATAACTCGATATGAGTTGTCCCCCTTTCATTCTCGCGATTAATCGTGTTTTCAAATTGATTTCGTGCAAAACAATTGTGTTTTTCCAATTTTGGGCACTGTCAGAACCACCACAAGGTAATTTTACGTAATTCTGTGAAGTCTTGTTGAAACCGGTTGAAAAATGTAGGAAATCCGATCTAATATATAAACGTACACACACACACACACACACACACACACACACACACACACACACACACAAAAAAAAAAAAAAAACAACTGGGTTTTATAATAAGTATGATGTTATGCAATTTGATTTTGAGTAATACCATCATTTGATCTATTCTCAGATATAGATAGCAGAACTCTAGCTTTTAGTCCTGCTAGCGTTTTACATTCTTTGGCGCAAATGTAGCAACGTTAGTCTATTGCAATAATTTTTACATTAGTATTCTGGTGAACATTTAATTAGTAGCGCCTTTGATATTTTTTTACGCTTGCCCTACTTAAACAGACGCCATCACTTTAATTACACGTTACACAAATTCTTTGCTAACATTCTCATGGAAATTAACATCAAGACTCTTACGAAAATTTAGTTTTATCAGTACGATTCTGTTTAAAGTGCAAAGACTTTCTTACCATTGCACACCACTGCTTTCCACCCGGATGAACGATCTTGAACCAGGTTTTCCCAGTCATTTTTCCATGATGTTGGGTTTCTGCAGTTCTTGATGCAATCTTTCGATTTGCGCGCTGTTTTTTTTTTTTTATTTCGGCGGTACAGAAACTGCTTAGAGGTCCTATTGTCTTTTACCCTGGTCACGTGATTACTCCATCGTAACCAGTGAGAAAGTACCAGAAACTCGGGAAGGTTGATATACCGTAAGCCAATTCAAACGAAACCAAAAATAACTAAATAATAATAAATAAATAATAATAATAATAAAAAAGCTGATCCATATTTCACATAATTCCTTTTCAAATGCCTTATTTGAAGAAAAATATTCAATAATTAAGGTTTTAATCCTTAGTAAATTATTATTTTTTCTTTCGGCGGTAGAGAAACTGCTTAGAGGTCCTATTGTCTTTCACCCTGGTCACGTGATCACTCTATCGTAACCGGTGAGAAAGTACCAAAAACTTGGGAAGGGATAACTCAACAATGACACCTCACCTGCCGACTCAACACCGGGACAACTCACCACCAGAAAAACATAACTTTTTTAAAATAATCAATTAAAAGTAATTTATTAAGGATTAAATAAATTATTCAAAAATAAATTACATTACGATTTACTTTGTTAAAAATAATTATCCAACCTGGGTAT